CTGTGTTGCCATTTAAAAGCATGAATATATGTTTCAAGGTTTATTACATTGTTTAACATCCAAATTTCAGTGAAAAACAGAATGTAATTAATAGAAATAAAGCATTTGTCAGTTTATCACCATCTGAAGAAGATTTTGATACAACAATTCAAAATATTATAACAGAATTTGAAGTCACTGTTAGTAAGTATATATGTATTGTATGATATTCAACCAGTGTCAAAAGAAATAATCCTTACATTCGGTAATGGGAGCACAAGTATTCAGTGCAAAAAAGCTCAAGTATATGTTAATGATATAGTTACACATATAGTTGATGAATATTATGATAACAATGCACATGGACCAGGCATTTATTCAGCTTGAAGCACATATTCTTAAGATTTTGAAATGAATTGAATGGAGTTTTACGTCCTACTTTTTTCTGCACCATTTGGGCTAATGAAGACAATCTTAAGATTTGAGCACCATTTGGAGCAAAATACCTGAGAGAGGTGTATAATATAGAAAACTTGATGTGATAAAATAGTAAGAATTGCTTAGCTCAATGACTAATGCTCAGTTCACACCAACGGCACTTTGATCGCGGTTTAAAGCAACGTACAAAGCGATACCAAAGCGTAACAAAGCTCGACTAAAGCGCCAGGGTCGTAATAGATCGTTGGAAAGCTTTAAGCAAAGCTGGATATTCGGCAAGAGCGTCAAAAAATTTTAAACTGTTTAAAAATTTTGGGCGCTGTGTCACGAATTGATTAAAGCGCCGAGAACGTATCAAAGCTTAACAAAGCGTAGCAAAATTCAGCAAAGCTTGACTCAAAGCGTAGGAAAGCTTAACAGAGCTTTATTCAAAGCGGGGACCCCAGTCTTTACCGTCTGTCACCACTTGATCAAAAGCGGCTTGAAATCGGCCATTTCGAAATTTTCCAATGCTTAACAGAGCTTAACAATGCACAACAGAGCTTGATAATCGTATCAGAGCGTGATTTAAAGCGTCATAACCGCATCAAACCTAATAAAGCTTATCAAAGCGTGATTCAAAGCGTAACAAGGCCTGATCAAATCGGGAAATAATTCGTCCCCAAAGCGTAACCAATTCGTATCAGAGCTTATAAGAGCGTAACATTACTAAGGAGATCGTGATATTTTTGGAAAAGTAAACAAAAAATGATCTTTCCGATTTAAAGCGCAGCATTCGCCGTTGGTGTGAACTAGGCATAACAATGTGAAATAGCATTGGAGATGATGATGATAATTTTAGTTGTTATTTTTTGATTATAGCTAAAGTAGTACCAATGAGTCGTGAACCAAGATTATCAGTATTTTATTCCCCACCAAAAGATGATCTCAAATTAAACTATGATCTGGAGATTGAAGAAGCTAAGAAATTAGAAGAACAAACATGGCCGAATCTAGAGTTGATTCTACATGAAGATGAAGAATATGTTGCTATGTTATCTGATATAGGGTCATATTTATCTATGGAAATGGAACTTATTAAACAATTTTCAACTGTAAGTTAAAATTTCTGTTATTCAGGGTTTGCTCTGAAATGAAATACAAGACTCTCCAAAAATGAGGAGATGACGATCTCAGTTGTATAGTGGCGTCAGGTGTTGTATGTAGTAATTTTAGTTGAACATGTGCTTTTTATAGAAACACCTTCAGCAGTACTTAATATATCTGTATGGTTTGAAGTTATGACAATTCTTGAAAAAGATATTTTGTTAATACTTTTATAGACATGTGTAAGTGTATCGGGTAGCACTAGTTATTTATCAATATTTTTTTCCTTCTGTACAGAATTATGATCAATTTTGTAAAATGGTGGACCAGTCCTATGTTTTAAATGTTGAAGAATCTATGTCTAGACAACAATGGTCAACAGAAGAATTCAGTCATGTTCTAGCTACTTATTCTACTATGGTGAGTGACAGATGATGGCCTTAGCCATTCAGTAAGCAATGAGGGGAAATTCCAAAAGTCAGTGGCATAAGCCTATCTTTTATCCATTTCCATCAAGCGATTCATGTGTACAGATAGAGAAATCAAATGAAAAATCAAGAGGTTGTTAGTTCCAAGTTAATGTTTTGTCACAAATACTGAAATGTCACTTACAGTTCATGCTTTATTTAATTTTTCACTTATACAGATAAAAAGAATGAATAATATGACAACAGGACAAAGACTAGCTATGGTGTATTTACAAGGAGATGATTTTAAAGCCTCTAGTTTACCACATCCACAGAAAGTTCTAGATGCTGTTCATAAAATAATGCCTGTTATCTCACAGAAGAAAAATGAAGCATTACTTAGTATTATCAAGGTAAGTATGCTAAAAAAAAAATGTTTGATTTATTTACGTTTATTAGATTTAAGTCAAAAATATTTGTTTTTGAGAATTATTTTCAGTTCAGTAAGCTTGTTTCATTTACCCCTCAAATGACAAACTTTACTTACATTCATAAACTGTTTGTTGTGGAATAAACATTAAAAAGCAATGATTGTCCAGCATTTAAAACTGAGATAACTCTCTTTGATGGTTTTTCTTATATTTTAGTGTCAAATTAAGCAAACTATTTGATTAATTGGTATTTCTAATGAATTATCATGTATTCTTCATCATATCATTATGTTCTTATTACATATTAGTAAGACTTTTAACCAATCATAAATGTCCATGTATGTACAGTCTGGATAAACAAAAAAAGACTTTTTGACCTTTCTTGATCGGACACTCATTGGAATTTTGCTTGTTATTCTCTTCTAATTTAGCTAATTATGAATTAATTATGAACATTCGAGACAAACTGTTATTTTTCCAAGTCATTAGAACACATCTACTTTCTATTCATAAATGAAAATAAGGAAACCTATCTTTAAGTGAAGTTTGGGTCACTGTTACTATGCCAGATTATTATTTGCACTGGTCATTATTTTTGGTATTTATACTATTTCAGGGAGCATTAAAGAAGCTAGATAGAGAACAGATATCAGTAGAAGAGTTTGTAGATCATTTGTCATTTTTAGGAAGAATGTCATCAGAATTACCTGTATTGGAAAAAGAATTTACAATAGTCAATAAATTATTTACTATCATGAGAGACTATAATGTAACGATATATCCTGAAGTCTTAGCTTTATATCAAACATTGGGCCCTAGTTTTCAACATTTGAAGGTATGTTTCAAATTTAAGTAGAGAATATATGTGTAAAAGCCGAATCCATTTTATGAAAATTAAACTATTGGTGTTAAAAAATATCATTTTTTAAAGCAAAACCCAATTTTGATCAAACACACCCAATTTTGGGCAAACTAAATTTTGATCAAAGCAACCCTAAAAAGGACCATATGCTTGGATGGAGGAGATGAAACTAGTAAATTAGGAAGCGTAACCGAGTATAGTAAACTGGGCAAAAGAACTCAACAACATTTAGTTTTTTAAAGACCCTTTTATTTCCCAGATTTCTTATAAAATGTTTTCAATTTGATTTGTCTTTTTTTTCAGTCTACCATATTGTACTGTGAAGCTAAGAAAGATGAAAATATTCGTAAATTTAGTACTGATTTAGATTCATTAATTTATGATATTTTGGCTAAATTGATGGATTTGAAAAATCGTGTTCGAGATCCAAGTTTATTGAGTGCTGATTCAATGGCTGTGTCTGCTTTAGAAAATATACGTTATTTACATGATGAAGTACAGTCATTATCAAATAAAGCCAGAAGTTATGCTAATTATCAAGAAAGATTTGGTAGTTCCTTGTCGAGTTCTAAAAAGAATTTCTTTGGAGAGTAAGTGATTCATTTTATAGTTTTCTTCTATCTTAGTTTTAGTTTCAGCAACCAGTAGAATATTGCTGTGTGTATCAGGATTGTTGATTTAGTTGTATTTTTCTGACCTGATATGAATGACTGTTTTTGGCAAGCATAATGTATTTTAAAGATGATTGCCATTATGTGTATTCGTTAAACATATACCTTTATTAACACCATTCCCTGACATCATCTTGTTTTATTGAAAGTTATAGATGGACACCTGCAGCATCATTCCAATTACTTTTTGCAAGTGTTTTTAGCTAAAAATCTAATGGTTTTTAAATACTTTTTTTGTCATTTCAAAATCATGATTTCCATGAGGTATAAAGATAAAAACTGTTCCTTTAATTTGCTCAGTAGAAAATTACCACTTACTTAACCTTTATTTGAATCAGGAGAATCAACCATGTATCTGCCTTAAAAATCTGCATCAGTGTGAATTACATGTATTTAGTTATTTTCAGTGCAAAGTATTTTAAATCATTTGTAACCATGAGCTTTAAATTGTGTTTGTAGAGAATATTTATTAATGGACAAGAAATCAGATCAAAGTGCCCATGAAATACAAACAGATTTATCAGATATAGAAAGAGATTTAACATTACGAAGATTACTGTGGCAGTCTCTAGAAGAATGGACTAAACTAATAGAAGAATGGACTGCCTCATCATTTGATTCTGTTAATGTTGAATCTTTACAGAAAAATGTAAATAAATTTACTCAAACAGTATACATGTTGGAAAAAGGTAAATATGATCTTATTTGTGTTTTTCATTTCTTTTAGAAAATTTGATTTAAAATGTTGTATTCATCTGAATATTGGTAGCATTTGAGCTAAATCTCTGGTATCCATGTCACTTTTCAAAATAGAGAAACAAATTTTGAATTTGTCTACAATTAAATAAAAAACTGTTTTAATTTGATCGAAGGAAGTTTCAAAAGTTCAAGTCTCCAGAATGTCAAAATTCTCCTATATACAGTCTTGAATGGCATGGCATATATTAGATTAATGGTTATGTTATAAGAAATAGTATACATATCAGAAGTCAGATTCTCTTTCAGAGAAGTGATATGGGTATGAAAATATAGCTTTTAGAATAGTGCATCAATTGTATTTTCAGGTCTACCACACAATGAAATCCTACCCAAACTAAAAGAAAAAGTGATGCATTTTAAACAAGGAATGCCTGTTATAACGAGTTTAAGAAATCCCTCATTACGTGCTAGACATTGGGAAACTATAGAGAAAATAATAGGAAAAGTTATTATTAGAGATAAATCTTTTACACTTGGTAATCTTATGGAAATGAACGTAAGTTCCTTAAAAGTTTATCCCAGAATACCATATGTAAATGAGATCACAATATAGTTTGCTTCTATCCATCTTCCTCATCCCTAAAACGTGTAGAGAAGTAGGACATAAAATGCTTTTTGTCTTCTGATGAAATACCTTACCCTAAATTTAACTTCTATATGGTGTTTCTGTTGATATTCTGTTGATCTGTATTTTGATATAGATTGTATATTATTTATAGATATTTAAGCACAAAGATAGAATTCAGGATATATCCACCACTGCCAGTAATGAAGCTACATTAGAGATTATGTTACAGAAGGTTTGTATATAGTCTATGTAATAGACTTAAAACTCCATTCAATTCAATAGAAGAGCAATCATTCCATGTCATAGATTTTTGTCATTTTGATATAATGCTTTGCAAGGCGTTTCTACAACACGTAATCAGATACAGAAAAGTAGGACTTCAAAGTTTAGACTGACATAACTTCTTGGTTGATTCATACTTGTGTAAATTTTTTACAGATTATAAATTGTTGAATCATAACCAGACTTCAGATTTTATTCTTAGAAGTGACACAGATAATTGAAACTGTCCTCTTCAATCTGGTACTTCATTCCTTTGAAAATAATTCAGGAAGTAATTCTGACTTCTTACCAACAATGACTTTGCTCTTTCAGATTGTTGATTTATGGCAGAGTACAGATTTCCGTCTGGTAGCTCATGTAGGTAGAGATACTCTGATTATAGCTGGTGCTGATGATATTATGGCTCAATTAGAGGAGAGTCAAGTTACAGTGGGAACTATTAGAGGTTCTAGATATGTTGGTCCTATAAAAGTAAGATTTAAACTAAAGCTGTAGACATTCTCTTGGTGACATTGTAAAGAAAGGTTTTGTCACATAATTTTTTCTCGTCTTCTGCCATTTCCATCTACAATGGATGCAAAGAAACAGCATATTTTGTGAGGATAATACCTTAGGTTCTCTAGGATCCTGTCTCCCAGCTTGTTCTTGGCAAAAACACTTTGCATTGATTCATTGGATTATCATGCCCAGCTGGGTCAAATGGATTTATTAAGAAAGTCACCACAATTTCACACCACCATTAACAAATATCGTTATGATTTCTGTCCTGACAAAGCCTGAATAATGTAGGATATTCCTTGATTTTCTCTGTATTTGATCCATCATACCAATGACCTTATTCACTGAACTTCAGGATCTCTTCAACAAAGTTTAGGATTTTGAATTTGAATATAAATATTAGCTATTGAATATTTGATATGTAGGTTCAAGTAGAAGAATGGGAGAGAAAATTACAAGTGTTTTCTAGGACGTTAGATGAATGGTTAAATTGTCAAAGAAATTGGTTATATCTAGAACAAATCTTTAGTACTCCCGATATTCAAAGGTAATTGTGATAGAAGTTTAAAAAATGCAACTCATTTATTTGTGTCCGGAATTCGGGTGATGTGGTAATAAGTGCCAACATTAAAGGGACAGATTCACATTTTTTGACCAAGCGTTCCTTAGTCTGAGAAAAGGGAACTTTTTACATGAGTCAATCAGTAATACTGTTCGCAGCTCACCGTCAAAATTTGTTCCTTCAAATCCAAATATGTCCAGAATTTGAAAGTTAAAAAGACTAGTTGTCATTTCTTGAGACACTGCCATATATAGAAAAGACATCCCCAAAATGTTTTACTCCAATGATATATTCTGGCCATTCTTCCATTTTTTTTATAGTATATTCAAAATAGTAGCTTTTTATGTCCAGCAAAATTTCAATGAATGAAATCTAAATTTTATGATTTTTTTGTAGACAACTACCGAATGAGTTTAAGTTATTTTCTGGTGTTGATAAAGCATGGAAAGATGTTATGAGAAGAGTTGAAGATAGACCTAATGCTTTAAAGGCAGCTATAGCTCCTGGTACCTTAGAAACATTGTCATCTTGTAATGCTAATTTAGAGAAAATACACAGATGTCTTGAGGTAGGGTTATCAAAACTTGGATCTTGAAAGGAGTTAAGCCTAAATGATCTTGAAATTTTACAATGCCAATTAACATTTTACTCAGTTTTCACCAAGAAAAGTCCTTAAGAAATGTTGCCTAAATGTATTTGAAGGATTTACCTAAAATTTTATATTATGATTTCCATTATTTTTAGGATTATCTAGAAACCAAGCGTCTAGTATTCCCCAGGTTTTATTTTCTCAGTAATGATGAGTTATTAGATATACTAGCTCAATCTAAAGACCCACAAGCTGTTCAGGTAGGCTTAGAGATATTTTATCAATTTTATTCAAAGTTTTTACTGAAAACATGCCTATATAAGCTATGCATTGCTGGGGATGAAAGAAACTGATTGGTAAAGAAGAGCGATTTTAACATTTCAGGTGTTATATAGCCCGTTTGGTGCTGGTGCACCTTAATGCATTTCATTTCGCTTCGTTTCATTTCGTTAGATTCTAACAAGTACTAAGTCTAAAGCTAAGACTTAAGTTTGAGGGTATTGGAATGAGAGGAGATGTGTCTCAAGAAATTTCATTTGTACAGATTCACTGAAATTAGGGGGACTTTTTACAAGGTACCAGGTGATGTTGATGGTATTATAAAGTATATAAGGTTTTCCATTGTACCAAATTATCCAGATAACAGCAATCAATGTATTATACAATATTATCTTTTAAATAGTTTCCATTTGTATTTGAAATACTAGGACAGGTGACTGTTTATATTAACCATAATGATATTAGTTACACCCTAGAGAATCCAATTCCAATATCCCTTCACATTTCATACTATGTCCTTTTCAACAGTGAGGTTAGCTTAGATTTTTTTTATTAGAAAAGAATTTGTAATATATCCAGAAAAATGACCTATTCAGAATTAGACACCTAGAATTTATAACACATTACAGTGTTATGCACTACATTATGTAACTTTGCACTGCAACATGGTTATAAATTTTGATTTTGAGTAGAATTCTTGTTGTAATTGTTCAAATTACATTAATATACAGGTTAGGCAAGGCCAGGCAAGATAATATATGCCCACTGACAGCTTTGATTTTAAATAAAAATATTTAGCAGTACAGTAACAATTACCAGTATGAAATATTCAACCTTCAGACATACACTTCATTTCAACTTTTGAATAATATTACCAAGTTTCATCAAAATTTGTCAAGAATTGGGCTTTCTAGCATGTCAACAGGCTAAAACTTGAACGCATTTTCAAGAACAAGGGCAATAACTCATACTGAATATTTTTCAATTCTTCTGATTTTCAATAGGGTTCATCCTTGGGTGATATTTTTTGATTCTTCTGATTTCCAATAGGGTTCATCCTTGGGTGATTACAAACAATCATAACAAGTTTCGTCGAAATCAGTCAAGAAGTGTGCTTCACAAGCAATTTTGGACAGACCGACGGACAGAAATGAGTGACAGGCTTATAAAAAATGAGATGGTATACTGATGAAAATGAAACAATTTTTCTTCTGACCTACTGAAAGTACTTATTTGGTTGTCAGATATAATATAATTTTGTGCTCTGTTTGGTTTAATTAAGTGATATTTTCTATTACAGCCCCATCTTGGTAAATGTTTTGGTAATATTAAACAGTTAGATATAAGACATGTACCAAGACAACCACCCACAATAAAAACTATAATATCTAATGAACAGGAGGTCATAAGTATGCCCAGGTATGGAACAAACATTTTTTAGACTTCAAGTGTCCTTCTTTATTTGCATAATATTTTACATTATAATACCGATCTTAGTAGGAAAGAAAATTCTTTAAGAACAATGAATAGATTTTTTGTATTATCAATGTTCAAATTATATCTCAGATTAACTAATAAAGTATGGATTATATTGTAGAAATATTCGGGCTAGGGGACCTGTTGAACAATGGTTAGGTACAGTAGAGTCTGGTATGTTTGAAACTGTCAAGAAGTAAGTAGAATCTTTTCCTTTACTTGAGTGCAATAACTTCTTCTGCTTAAAATAAGTAAATCATAAAGTTTGTGATGTGATATCCTTAATAAATAAAGATTTTTTGAATTGAGTAAATCATATGACTATTTTTTGTATCACTGATGTTATATAGAAATTTGATCATCATGTACTCTCTTTTCAGGCATTTAAAGCTAGGTTTATCTGACTGGCTAGGTTGTGATATACAAGACTGGGTAGTAAAACATCCAGGACAAGTTGTTCTTACAGTAGTAAGTATAGCTATTTTTAGATATTTAAAGCTAGGTTTATCTGACTGGCTAGGTTGTGATATACAAGACTGGGTAGTAAAACATCCAGGACAAGTTGTTTTGACAGTAGTAAGTATAACTGATATGTAAAGCTAGGTTTATCTGACTGGCTAGGTTGTAATATACAAGACTGGGTAGTAAAACATCCAGGACAAGTTGTTCTGACAGTAGTAAGTATAACTGATATGTAAAGCTAGGTTTATCTGACTGACTAGGTTTTGATATACAAGACTGGGTAGTAAAACATCCAGGACAAGTTGTTCTGACAGTAGTAAGTATAACTGATATGTAAAGCTAGGTTTATCTGACTGGCTAGGTTTTGATATACAAGACTGGGTAGTAAAACATCCAGGACAAGTTGTTCTGACAGTAGTAAGTATAACTGATATGTAAAGCTAGGTTTATCTGACTGACTAGGTTTTGATATACAAGACTGGGTAGTAAAACATCCAGGACAAGTTGTTCTGACAGTAGTAAGTATAACTGATATGTAAAGCTAGGTTTATCTGACTGGCTAGGTTTTGATATACAAGACTGGGTAGTAAAACATCCAGGACAAGTTGTTCTGACAGTAGTAAGTATAACTGATATGTAAAGCTAGGTTTATCTGACTGACTAGGTTTTGATATACAAGACTGGGTAGTAAAACATCCAGGACAAGTTGTTCTAACAGTGGTAAGTATAACTGATATGTAAAGCTAGGTTTATCTGACTGACTAGGTTTTGATATACAAGACTGGGTAGTAAAACATCCAGGACAAGTTGTTCTAACAGTAGTAAGTATAACTGATATGTAAAGCTAGGTTTATCTGACTGACTAGGTTTTGATATACAAGACTGGGTAGTAAAACATCCAGGACAAGTTGTTCTAACAGTAGTAAGTATAACTGATATGTAAAGCTAGGTTTATCTGACTGGCTAGGTTGTGATATACAAGACTGGGTAGTAAAACATCCAGGACAAGTTGTTCTTACAGTAGTAAGTATAGCTATGTTCTTAACATTTCCCCCCATAAAAATATTGTCATAGCTATCTGACTGTCATAGGGAAATTGATCAAAAACAATTGATCACTGTAAATTTATCACTTAGTGAATGGTAATATTGTTACAAGATAGTACATTATTCACAGGATTATTTGGTCTCAGTAACAATCACATGGAGAATTGTCATATATTCAGCTGTCAATTTTCTTTACAGACGCAGATTATGTTTAATAAAGAAGTATCAAAATGTTTTGAACAAGCGAATCCTCGTCAAGAATTGATCAAAGTGAAAGACAATATGGTGGAATCATTGAATAAATTTGCAGGATTGGTATCTTCTAATATCTTGTCCTATCAGAGGATGAGTATAGAAGCATTATTAACAATTACTGTACATAATAGAGATATAGTCAATGAAATGATCTCCTTTAATGTCAAGAAAAAAGAAGACTTTGAATGGAAAAGGTAAGTATTTAAATCAGTCATTGCTCAAAACGTATTCTCAAATGTAACTTTCAAAAATTATTTTACCTTTTCATGATTTCATAGTCAAAGAGAAAATGGCAGGACTTTGGATTGAAAGTATCAATTCCCAATCTACACAATTGGTTACATGTGAGCATGTTTTTTTGGCATCTTTTCTCTCTGCTGCCAAAAAACATATTCATTCAGGAGCCTTTCCTAAAAACCATTTGATTACAAGATTACCTTTTAATCAGCTCACACCCTAGTGTCTATACGTCTGGCATTATGGTGTTAGACACTCATGTACACTATAAGTTATAATGCGTTTTATATGGCTTTTCTTTTGGCAGACAATTGCGTTATGAATGGGACGAGCAGACCAATAACTGTTTGGTGCTTCAATCTAATGCATCATTTCAATATGGATACGAGTATTTAGGCTGTTCACCAAGATTAGTTATTACACCATTAACAGATAGATGTTACTTAACATTAACTGGTGCTTTACATCTTCATCTTGGTGGTTCACCAGCTGGTCCTGCTGGTACTGGTAAAACAGAAACAGTTAAAGATCTGGCCAAGGTGATTATTTTTTACTTTATATATGAGCCCAATCTGGAGTAGGGCATAAAATTTCATTTTGATTTTGGCTCTATTGATTGATTTCTCAAAGATTCATACATTCTCTAGAGCAGTTTTAGAATGGCTTTCATTGACACATTAATTTATACTTTCAGGCTATGGGAAAACAATGTGTTGTATTTAATTGTTCTGAAGGTTTAGATTATAAGGTAATATTATAGATTTATCTTCTAAAACATATTTTATATGAGTAAATATATAGTCATGGATCAGGCACGGTTGAGCCATAAGCCAGGAAGGCTAGAGGTTTCTTAGCCTCCCTGATCTTAAAAGACCTAAGCTAAATAAACATTAGCCTCTTTAGGCACCATAATCAAATAAAAACTGCCTCCCTACTGTTTTGGTGACTGCTACTGAACAACATGAGATTAAAGTTCAGTTCTGTTGTTAAACAGAGCACTCTTGTTCCTTCCACTCTAATGATGTATGATAATATTTCAGATGTTAGGAAAGTTTTTCTCAGGGTTAGCTCAATCTGGTAGTTGGTGTTGTTTTGATGAATTTAATCGTATTGATGTAGAAGTTCTATCAGTCGTAGCTCAACAGATTCATACTATTAAAGCTGCTAAAGACACCCAATCATTACGCTTTATGTTTGAAAGTCGTGATATTAAACTCAATATGAGTTGTGGATACTTCATCACCATGAATCCAACGTAAGATTTTACACAACATACATGAAGAAAATTCTCAGTATCTCTTGGATTTCTCCTTCTTTTCACATGTAAAATTAATACAAAATAGGTCTTGAAAATTGAGAATTTCTCCAAGTGTTTTTGCAGTTGATCCCAGCCATTGTTTCTGCTCAGTTAATGTGCACTCTCATGTCAGTATTGAGACTACTGGACTGTTAAAGACACTTTTTACAAACATCACAATCATAAGATTAACTTCTAGTATTTGTGTTCATGTAATTTTATATCTTAATTCATCCATTTATTTCTGACAAATTTGTATTCAGTACCATTTATATTGTAGATATGCTGGTCGAGTAGATCTACCAGATAATTTGAAATCATTATTCCGTCCAGTAGCTATGATGGTACCAGATTATGCCTTGATTGCTGAAATCATCCTATTTTCTGAAGGTTTCCGTGATGCCAAATCTTTATCCCAGAAAATAGTCAATCTATATCAGTTGGCCAGTAAACAACTTTCACAACAAGATCATTATGATTTCGGCATGAGAGCTATAAAATCAGTTTTAGTAATGGCTGGCCATGGCAGACGTCATGCTCAACAGAGGTAAGATATGTTTTAGTGGATACAGGTAGATGTTCTGCTCAATATTCTAATTTCACCTCAAGGATACACCTGGCTATTTAGATGCTGTAGAAAGTGAATGGCTAAGATAACATTGTTGACAATGTAGATATCTAAGATTTGTGTTGTTATTTTTCATCTTACTTTGAGAATCAAAGACCTAATGAGCTTTTAATAAGTTTTTTAGTCTAAAATCTACTTATTTCACCTATTTACACAATGTTTTATATTGTTATTGTAATTTCAGGCCTGATGGTACAGTAAAACCATTAAAAGATGAAGAAGAATCCCATATAATGATTCATTCATTGCGTGATGCCAATTTACCCAAGTTTTTAGCAGAAGATGTTCCACTATTTGAGAGTATTTTAGCTGATTTATTTCCAGGAATTGTACCACCTTCTCCTGATCAGGGTGTTCTTGAGGTAAATTTTAATTTGACATCTTGAAAGAGCCTGTGTTGATAGCCATTTACGATGCCAGAATGGATGCTGTAAACTTTTGAGAATTGGTCTAAGAAAAACAGTTCGTTGTTTGTCATTGCTCCTATAATAACTATAATTTGATTGATTTCAAGAATTTGTACTCTGTTTTCAGAGAGCTATATCAATGGCTATAAGAGATCAGAACCTGCAGCACTGGCCAAGTCAAATGGAAAGAGTGAAACAGTTACATAGTCAAATCCTGGTACGTCATGGTGTAATGCTGGTTGGCCCTACCGGTGGAGGTAAAACAACTGTCAGAAATATCTTACAGAGGGCACTAGTATTATTACCTACCATAACCCCCCAGGATGATCATGTAACCACTAGTCCAGTTAAAAAGCCAAATTCTTATGTGGTGAGTGGTTACTTTCTTATTTATTATCTTCAGTGTTTTCTTACTCTTTTAAAACACTCATATTTGCAAATTGAAATTATGGAAGCCAAAAATGAAAATTTAGAACCTGGGTTTTTGTTTTTCAGCATAACCGTACTAAGAAAGGACATGTGGAAACTTTCACCTTGAATCCGAAATGTGTAAAACTTGGTGAATTGTATGGTGAAACTAATCCAGTAACATTTGAATGGACAGATGGACTTATTGCGTCTGCTACAAGAAAATTTTATAAAGATTTAAATATAATTACCAGTGGGGATGATGGGAAGGAATCTAGAGCTGATACAACTATGACTAATTATTCACAAATGACACAGGTATGTTTATATATTTGTTAGGTGTGCACCATGCCACTAGGCAGTATAGATTTTCCTCATTGCAGAATGCAAACCATATGTCAAATCTAGTTTTTACTCAGTTATCAATGGTTTCTCCTAGACCATATTATGCTCCAATAGCAGTTTATGGAAAATCATTGGACTTGTAGAATCATGAATCTTTTGAATTATAAGAATCACCTTTCAAAGCAAAATCTTGATATAAACTATTTCTATTTAGACTACAATAAGAACAGGAACTACAAGTGTATCGGAGGCTACAGATATAACAGAAGATCTACAGAAAAAAGATCAGCTAGAAACAGTACCTACAGATTGGAGATGGATTGTATTAGATGGTCCTGTTGATACATTATGGGTTGAAAATCTCAATACAGTTCTTGATGATTCTAAGGTAGATTTTTCAAACTATATTCTGTAATTTGAATCATCATGTTGACAAATTTGCCTTTAGCATAATATTGGTTCCTTATTGGATTATGAATTTTACATTGGAATTTCATTGACATGGATGTTTACCCCGAGCTTAACCTCATGATAAGATCATTCCAGATAAGTTGAATCCATAAGAGCTGTCTATTGGATCATTCAAGGTCTTAATAATTTCACTCTAATCATTAAGATTTAAACCCACAACTACCATTTGTCCTGGATGGACAATTCTGTCAAATTGTGTGAATCAAGTTTTATAGATTTTAACCATTTCTAAATCTAGTATATATGTTTTATCATTACTCTGTAATATTTGATATTATAGGTGTTATGTTTAGCTAGTGGAGAGCGTATTAGTTTAGCACCTGGTATGAGATTAATATTTGAAGTAGATAATTTATCACAAGCCAGTCCAGCTACTATTAGTAGATGTGCTATGGTCTATATGGTAATTACTCAATTTTATATACCAGTTAAATTTTCACTGGACATTCTTGGATTGAAATGCTATTGTTTTCTAGGAGAATTCCTTGTTTTGATGTTATCTTATAACTGTTAGAGTGTTGGTTTATGTTTCTGGTAGACATATTCTCGCTCTGCTACTGTGTCTGAGATTTCACATAGTTTAGTCCCTCCATGAAAGCTTTTAAATGCTATATAACTTTAACATTTACTATGCACTCTTACAGGACCCAGTAGATTTAGGGTGGCAGCCATTTGTAAAGAGTTGGTTGTACACTGCACTACCTAAAGAACTGCCAGATAGTGGTAAAAGCCATCTGTTGAAACTTTTTGAACATAGTATCGACAAGGGACTGAAATTCCTTAAGAAATATCAGAAGTTTCAGACTATCATGGTACCAGAAATGAGTATAGTATCAACATTGTGCCACCTGTTGTCAGCCTATTTTGACTATATGAGTAAACATGGAGGATTTGGTAATCCAGGTATGGTATTTTGAATTAGTGAAAATTCCTCAATTTGCTTGTAGCTCTGTCAGGAGCAGCAAAGCTGGCATAATTTCGTTTTGTCTATTACAAGTTTGTAATAAAGACAAGGGATGTAAAAACTTAAAAGATCCATGAAAATCCACCAGAGTAATAGACCCTCCTTCTGTTTGTTAAAGATAAGATTGAAGTCAGACCTACTAGTGATGGTGAGAGTAGAGGAGAATCTGGTGTATCTAGTCGTAATTCATCAAGAACTACATCTGGTAGAGTATCTAAGAGTAAACGTAGTAAAAGTAAGAAGAATAAACTAAAGGAAGATCTAGAGAATATGGATGATAATAAAGGAAAAGACTCAAGGTAAGACATTTTTGATATTCTTAATTTAGCCGTAAGAAATAAACAGCTTTCAACAACATTCACAGACCCTCTTGTTGAAAGATAAGCTGGTTTTGTTTGGCTAGCTAGTTTTGGTAGTTGATCTTCAGTTCTTGAAATATTTTTGGAGAGGTCAAAGACTGATTGGAAAGCATATGGCTGTATTACATTTTGTTGTTGAAGTTACCTGTGCTTTAATGACTGGTTGTACATTAATAATTATGATTTCAGTATGGCTCAACAGTTCTTTCTCCAGAAATCACCAACACAGCTATTAAATTTTCTTGGTAAACTGTTTGCATTCTGTTATACATGGAGTTTTGGTGGTATATTACGTAGACAGGAAGATATAGATGATGATGATACTAGAAGATCTTCAGATAAAGATGAAATTAATATCTGTAATGAATTTGATAATTTTATGAGAGAAGTATTTGAAGTTGAACCACCAGTTGGTAAGTGATAATGCCATTTTCCAAGTCATGTTTTAGTTGGCTTCATTCGCAAAGCATTGATTGTAACCCAGAGATGTAAGACTTCCGGATATTTCCAGAAATGGAAATGGGTTGCTTAGAATTCTATGCTTCCCAAAAGTTTTGGAAATGAATATAATGGTCACTTACATCTCTGGTAGCCTCAAAAGGGTGAACTCTTGAAATGATTAAATAATGATTTGAAAGAAAGAGCATTTTCTATAAAGTAAACTTTTTCAATACTATTGTGGTTGGTTTTCTGCTATCAAAAAATAGTTCAGAAGTAATTTTTATTTTCATTTTTAGGCGTGCGTCTGCCAGCTGGTAACAGAAGTATGTATAGCTTTTTTTTAAACATGGAGTCTGGTTCATTTACACCATGGGATGTCCTGGTACCAACAACTAAATCACTGATAGAAAAAGGAGCTATGTTAACTATAGGAGAGACTATGGGATTAATGAGTGAACAGAAGAAATCAGATGGTTTACAGGAAGCTGAAATTGTACCAACTGTTGATATTATACGTTTCTCATTTCTAACTAGTTTATTGTTACTACAGAAACATCCAGTTCTTATAACAGGTTTGTGGGACTGTTTTCAATGTTTGTTATTGTTGACATGAAAGTAAAGTAGCTGGCTATAAACGTGAACATTGATAACTCTCCTTGTCATGGCGATGGTGCTGATAGGTTCTGTATTGCTTGGAGATAAAGCTTGAGAGGTAAATACCTTTTTCATTCTTGTACACTTCATTCTTGTCCATCTTCATAAGCATGTTCCTGTTCTCAAGGCAGAAATATTTTGTTATTAAACTTTGCTCTTACAATTCATGTAAAATATGTTGTAGGTGATTCTGGAGTAGGAAAATCAGCTTTAATAAACAATATGTTAAAACGTCTACAGAAGGAAGGTGGTACAACCTACAAAAACGGTACCATATTAGGAGATATCTTCACTTATTCTGAGAAACGTATGTCTATACTTAATGACATTAGCAACTTGACAAGATTTGGTGATGAAGAAACAGAAAATAAAAGTTTAGACGTACTACTGGGATCAGTTAAACCTAAAATACAAAGTGGACTGTTGAGTACAACCATACAGTTCAGTGCCCAGACAAGTTCAGCTCGTCTTCAAGGTCACATCATGCACAAATTGATCAAGAAGGGTAAAGATGCTCTTGGTGCTCCTAAAGGACGAAAGGTAAAGTTAGAATTTGAATTTTTATTCTTGAACTTCAACTCTTTGATGTCCATGGTTTTATCAGAAGGTTTAATTTCTTGCCAAGATTTAGATTTAGGGAGGGTTCTCGTCAATGTTCAGTCTTAGGGTTTTCTTCATGGTTTAAGAATTGATCATACTTGAATGCAACATTTAATCTCTAAAAGATTTGGATTCCTTGACATTAAAATTGATTGCAATTGAATTTTTTGATAGTGAATCATTCTATAATTAGGTTGTTGTGTTTGTGGATGATCTGAATATGCCAGCTCCAGAACAGTATGGTGCTCAACCACCTCTAGAATTACTCCGACAGTTTCTGGAACTTGGTGGATTTTATGACACTGCTAAATTACAGTGGAAGGTAAATCTTGTTTTTTTTCAAAAATGCATTGAATATTCCTGCAGTATGATTATTGTTTTAGATTGTTTAGTGATAAAGCATTGGTACCATCGCTGTTAATATGGGTTCTCACCAGTCAAATCTGTCATGTATATACTAATCACAATTGAGTAATTTCAAACATGCATATTAAGGAATTTGTTTTCTATCTTTAGGACATTTTGGATGTTACCATGGTTACAGCCTGTGGTCCTCCTGGTGGCGGTAGAAATCCTACAAGTCCTAGATTATTAAAACATTTCTGGTATGTATATCACAGTTGTTCAGCTTTAGTGTAAATGTTCCATTCATGTATATCAAATACTTAAAAAAATTTAATGAGCAATATTATTCTTCTGTGTATGTTTTGGGGAATTTTGTGTATGACAAAAAAATGTGTCCTTCATTTCAGTATATTTGCTTTACCAACACCATCTACTAGATCCTTACAGCATATTTATCAAGTTCAGTTAGGCAGGTTTATCATTCAAGATGGTGACTTTATGCCAGAAGTTCAAGAATGTTTATTTTCAATGGTATCTGCTAGTATAGCTATATACTATAGAATGGGAAGTACTATGTTACCAACACCCACCAAATCACACTACACTTTCAACATTAGAGATCTCTCCAAGGTAATGAACAAGTAGTAATGTCAATATGTATTATTTTTATAAAACCCTCTGCAGATATGCAAGTTTATCCATAATAGTGGCACATGAAAACATTAAGATGAAAGGTTTACTCATACTACAATATAGAGATGTACTGAAGTTGAGATGTGTATTGATTTCAGAATGCCTAATTCAGTGATTTGAAAAATGATATACCAAAATTTAAAATATATGAGACTTTAGCATCAGTTTTGTGATAAAATGATTGTTCGTAGTTTTGACCTGGTATCTGGTTTTTGGCAATTAAAAGTCATAGATGCCTATATATATATATATATATATATGAACATGCTGACTGAATTCCTCTAATGTACTTGTAAGTTTCAAATCTTTCTATTGTTTCAGTGAATGAATCTGAGCCTCAAATGATATGTATTCTTATTTCTTTCAGGTTATCCAAGGTTTATTACAAGCTCATAATTCAGTTATTGTCAGTAAAGATAATTGTGCTCAGTTATTGGCTCACGAAGCTACCCGAGTATTCCATGATAGATTGGTAGATAATACAGATAGAATGGCATTCTTTGATATACTATCAGATAATCTTCATGATTATTTCAAGGTGGGTTTGAGCCTAAGTATCTCTGCACGCTTATAGGATTATTTTTACTCAACATTTTAAACCTGTTTCAGTTGCAGACATACATATGATTAATTCCAAATGATGATCAATTTCAAACCTTTTTCTGCATTTAAATGTGTATTTACTATTTAGTTTGAAGCTAGAGATAAAAGCTTAAACTTTATCCTAGTACAGTGTACTCTGTGATATCCTACATCTGAATATTCCGACTTTCTGCGTAATCGTACATCATTTTCTGGTCCTGATTGATTTCTTTCTTAGGCTAGTTTAAAAAACTCTGATACTCTGACAGTGTATTCCAAATAACGACACTAATCAGTGGTCCTGACACTCAGAAAAATCTGTATAATCTGACATCTATTCATCTTAATCACTTATCGTCAATTAGATAATCGCTTATTTTATTGATAATCCAGATCAAATCACATGAAAACAAAAGATCGCTGAACTAAATTCGCTAATCTAACATTGTTTTGCGGTCCCAGTGTATGTCGGATTAGGCAGAGTATACTGTACTGTAAAGATTGCCTTTAATGATCAATCTGAATTGTCTAACTTGTCAATATCTAAATTGTTTAAAGGTGAAATGGACTGCAGAAAAGCTACGTAATGAACAGGTATTATTTGGAGATTTCTTTGAGATAGATGAAACAGCTAACAGAATATATCAGCCTCTAGCAGACCGTAGTAAATTAGGCAATGTTCTAGAAGATTACTATATGAGATTAAACTTTGGTAATTCCAAATCAAGTCAGTTGGTATTTTTTAAAGATGCTGTAGAACATATTGTTAGAGCAGCGCGTGTTTTCAGACAACCAGGAGGTCATTTACTATTGGTAAGACAATTCTTCCTTATGCCCTTTTTGGCACTATTTTCAAAGATGTTTGCCTTTGACGCACTCCTGACCAATTTTTGTACTAAATTCACGTAAGACAACCACAAGAAGATCAAATTTTCTACTTCTTTTTTGAGCTATGGATGCTACTTAATAATGGCATAGGTAAAAATTTTGGAGGGTACTTCCTCATATTCTATATTTGAATCTAGGACCCAGGTGATAATTTAAGCTGGCTACCAATGTTTAAGCAATACTTATAGTACCAAGTCAAGGATAAGTAAATAATTATAATTATTATATATTTCTAGGTTGGATTAGATGGTACAGGAAAATCAACTGTAGTACATTTAGCTAGTCATATTGCTAGATGTGAACTCTTCAGACTTTCTCTTCAAAAACACTATGGAACAATTGAATTTAGAGATGATCTGAAACGAGTTTTCAAAATAAGTGGTGTTAAAGGTCAAAATACTGTGTTTTTATTGGCTGATTCAGATATTGTTAAGGTAATGTGACTGTTTATCTAGAAAATGATGTAAATTTTTATACTAATGGGAAAATGATTTTCTGTTTTTTTTTATGTGGTTAAAAGGATTGTAAAGATGTTTTCTAAATTTTTTATGTGTATCAGGGACACTGATAGCTTCAATTTGCACCATTCTAATTTTCATTCCGACGTCTGTGGTTCTTGCAATTCCACTAAAACTAATGCATTTTTTGACGTCACTAGAGGGAAGCCACCAAAAGCTACCTATGTAGTTCCCCTCTAGTGATGTCATTAACCACTTTACATTCTCTTTAATATTATGGGGAAGGGATATGGTCTCTATAGAGATCAAATTAGTTGTGGCAGTTTTCGTGGACAAATGGCCTGTACACCTTGTATGGCTGCATGAAATTGAAAACTGCATTGATAGTTGTCTGTTCTAGGAATCTTTCCTGGAAGATATTAACTGTATTTTAAACTCTGGAGAAGTACCAGATCTCTTTGATAATGAAGAATTAGATGGAATCACCATGGATTTGAAAAGTGCTGCTGCCGAAGCAGATATACCAGACACAAGAGTTGCTGTTTATCAGTTCTTCATACAACGTGTACGTCAAAACCTACATGTTGTATTAACAATGAGTCCTGCTGGTGATAAATTCAGACAAAGATGCCGAATGAATCCAGCGTTAATAAATTGCTGTACAATAGATTGGTATGATGAATGGACTGATGAAGCTATGTTGAGTGTGGCTCAGGTTTTCTTTCAAAACACAGAATTTTTAGCTGACCCAAGATATGACATAGAGGTAGGTTTGCCTTTTCTCTTCAGATTATAAAACCTGGTAAGTGATGCTGGTAAGAGGGACTGACATGGAAAAAGTTGTTCGGTTGGTACTATAAACCGACGCCCTGTGTGCTACAGGCTGTGCACGTTGAAGATCCCTTGACAGTTGGAAATTGAAAAAGAGCAGGCTAATGCCGCTGTCCTGGCAAATTTTCCTTCATTGCACCCTGCATGGCGGTACAAAAAGTAGGACATAAAACTCCTTGCGTGATATATTCCTTATCATTATTTCATTGTGATACACATGTTGCCAGAGTAGAATATTGTGATATATCTTTATTTTAAACAGTGTGTTCCTTGTGCATAGGTTTTTCTAGTTTATTGTCTGCAGTATCTATCTAGATATAAAAAGTAGGTGTTGCCAGGGCAAGGTGTATAGTTATTGTGTTATATCATTTAAACCATCACAAAGTTTAGAAGTTCGAATGCCATTTGACCTTTTACTATTGATATTTGCAATGGATGTGTTGCTAGAATGTTGTCAAATTAACATGTTATATTTCTGATATAGGTTATTAAAGAACGTGTTGCCAGAGCATGTGTTGATATCCATCGTAGTATATCAGTTGTATCAAGACAATATTGGGAAGAAATGAGAAGACATTATTATTCTACACCATCAAGTTATATGGAGTTGATAAGATTATATTCTATTATGTTACGTGACAATAAACAAGAATTTGTTAATAACAGGTATAAGCATAGTTAACCTTTATACATAATTCATTCATTCATTCATTCATTCATTCATTCATTCATTCATTCATTCATTCATTCATTCATTCATTCATTCATTCATTCCATTCCATTCCATTCCATTCCATTCCATTGGCTCTCAGCTATTGAAATGATGTTGCAAGGATATTAAAAATATATTGAAGTGAACTCAAAATATCTCTCACAAAAAATCATAATGTTTTTTCACTATTGTTATCTGGATAGTTCTCTGTATTTTTCAGAGAAAGATTACAGATCGGTCTATCTAAATTATCTGAAGCTAACTCATTAGTTGGTGAAATGCAAGAAGAGTTGGTAACCCTGGGACCTAAAATAGAAGAAAAAGCAAGGGTAAGTAATAGGTATCAGAATGTTTCACACCCTTCTTGAAGTTTTTTATGATATTCTTAGTGGCCGTTTCATTATGAATTTTGTGTTTGTAGGATACAGAAATATTATTAGAACAATTAGAGAAAGATAAGATAGCAGTAGAAGAAGTACAGCAGATTGTTGAAGCAGAAAAGAACATCATGGATAGAGAAACACAGATAGTTCAAGATTATGCTGATGTAAGTTGCTTTAATTTTACAGCTTGACAAAGAAAAGAAGGCAACATAATCACATTTTTGAGACTTATGTCATGAAAATGATATTTTATAGCAGAATTTGAATGATTTCAATCTTGATGCTTCTGGGAAGCTGTATGACAGATTCCATTTCAGCTCCAATGTGATTTAAGAACAGTTTTGCAGATTTTGAATTTTTCTCATGTTCGATGTTCTTATTTTCAGGAATGTGAATTAGATCTAGCCTCAGTTTTACCAGCTCTACAAAATGCTATTGGATCATTAGAAACATTAGATAAAGCATCTATATCAGAAATTAGGTGAGATTATAATCTATCAAAAATTAAAAATCAGGTTGTTTGTTTTGCATCACATCAGCTGTCCTTGTCACTTGTGATGGAAAAGTTTCAATGTTTGGGAACCTAATCTTTCAATATTAAGTCACTATTTATCCCTTTCTAAACTTCATCCATTGGCAGGAACATCAAACTAAATTGGCACTACAGTTTTGGGTACAAACTCCACTAGGTTTTAATTATAATTAATCTTTTTTTCAGAGTTTACACACATCCACCAGTGTTAGTTAAAACGGTTATGGATGCTGTCTGTGTTCTCTTTCAAAAAAGACCAGATTGGGTCACAGCTAAACAGATGTTAGGGGATGCTAATTTCCTTAAAATGCTTCTTCAGTTTGATAAAAATGGGTTACCAGACAAGGTAGGTTTTGCATTTTAAATTCATTCTTTATTAGTGAATGTTGACATCCTTTTGACACTGGTATGATGCTAAGAGTTTAGACATGTTCTTTTAAGGCAATTATTATCCTTGTTTAAGATTCAAAAAGCCTCCTGTCTGCTCCTTTAACATAACCTCATGTTATTATGAATACCTGCAGATCATATAAGTAAACAAGATATTTTGGACTATTTGTAGGTATTTAAGAGACTAAAAAGATACTCTAAAGATCCTGATTTTAACCCAGAGAAAGTGGGAAGTGTATCAGAAGCTTGTAGATCTATATGTGAATGGGTATTAGCTATAGAACATTATAATGATGTTTATAAGGTAAGATAGTTAGATACATTAACAGTAACTTATGCTTTGTCATTCTATTTGTTGAATGGATATCAGCATTTAATAAACAGAATTGTTAACCTGTTAACCTCACTTAAATGCTTGACAAATAACATTATTACTTTTATAAGATACTCGGTACCTTATCTGATTTGGGATGTATTTCTGAAATGCCTCTGATTAATAGACAATATCTAATAAGTAATGATTGGGACAAGGATCATCCACCAAGAAGAATCAAAGATTCATATTTTGCTTGATGATTTTTCAGATGGTCAAACCAAAACAGAAAAGAGTAGAAGATGCTAGAGAAGCTCTGAAGTTAGCTCAGAATAATTTAGTACAGAAAATGGCTAGTTTGAAAAAGGTAATATTTCTTTCCTGTTTAAAGCCATTCTAAGCCACTGATATAATAGCTTTCCTGTAAAATGAAATATCTAATTACTGGTTTAGGAATGAGGTATAATGAGATATGCCAAAAGACTGTAAGAAACTTATGATGACTAGGCTTGTTTATATTTATTAGGAGACTGTCTTGATTTGATTTTCAGATTCAAGATCATTTAAAGATGATAGAAAGACAGTATCAAGATAGTGTTAATCAAAGAGAGGGATTAAAGGAAAGAAAGAAAACAACTGGATTAAGATTACAGAGAGCTTCATTATTGATTAAAGCTTTAGATGGTGAAAAGGTATGGTGCTTATTCTTTAGGGGAATTAGAGACAAACAAAATTTGCCACTTAATCAAGGATGCTTTAAGATTATATTTGTTTTATCCAAAATTCCATATTCAGCAGTGAGTGATGAATCATATGATGTTCTTTGCTTGGTTACACCAGAAAAATGATGGCTGAACCAAAGACTTGCAAACTTGGTTAGTTTCAATGTCAAGTCTTTTATGTTCCCAAACAAAAATTCTATGTTGTCTATTTAGGTTCGCTGGGCAGATTCTGTGAAGACATTAGATTTTAAGCTAGAAGGATTAGTTGGTGATACATTAGTAGGAGCTGCAGCAGTATCATATCTCGGTGCTTTTACTGCCACCTACCGTAAACAGTTAGTAAAGACCTGGGTTGAGATGTGTCAAACAGTTGATATACCTATTTCTAAATCATTTGATCTAGCTAGAAGTATGGTTGATGACAATCAGGTAATGTAAAATTAAATACTTTAAAAAAAATACACAAAAAAAGTATTGATAAGAAGTACCATTTCCAATGGATGGAGCAATTCAGTTTGGAAACATTTTTTAAGAAGAAAATATTTTGAACTTAGATATTAAAAGTGAACAGTTTTTTGCTCTGATTTAAACTGAGTTATACACTTTCTTATGAGTGATTGTTTTGATGTATTTTTATAGGTTATGAAGTGGCATAATGAAGGTTTACCAAGAGACAACCATTCTAAAGAGAATGCCATGTTTGTAAAGAGAGCAAGAAAATGGCCGCTACTGATAGATCCTCAGGGACAAGCTTTAAAGTAAGTATCAGTATTGATTGATTTATGTCTTGTTCAGCCCATCGACTGAAAATGCATTTGCCAAGATGGCTTCTTGAAAAAAATTGAAATTATTAATTATGTTATCATTACAGTTGGGTTAAGGAAATGGAAGGTAGTAGATTAAAAATAGTAACAGCTACAGATCATAATTTGATGAGAACAATGGAAACTGCTATCAGAGTAGGAGATCCTGTTCTTATCAAGGTAAGTTATTAATATGGACTTAAATTTCTTTGGTAGCTTGGTTTCATTAAACATTATATGTAGAATTGATATCACAGCACATTGTGTTCTTGCTTTATGATATCACAGCACATAGTGTTCATGCTTTATGATATCACAGCACATTGTGTTCATACTTTATGATATCACAGCACATTGTGTTCTTGCTTTATGATATCACAGCACATTGTGTTCATGCTTTATGATATCACAGCACATAGTGTTCATGCTTTATGATATCACAGCACATTGTGTTCATACTTTATGATATCACAGCACATTGTGTTCATGCTTTATGATATCACAGCACATTGTGTTCATGCTTTATGATATCACAGAACATAGTGTTCATGCTTTATGATATCACAGCACATAGTGTTCATGCTTTATGATATCACAGCACATTGTGTTCATGCTTTATGATATCACAGCACATTGTGTTCATGCTTTATGATATCACAGCACATTGTGTTCATACTTTATGATATCACAGCACATTGTGTTCATACTTTATGATATCACAGCACATTGTGTTCATGCTTTATGATATCACAGAACATAGTGTTCATGCTTTATGATATCACAGCACATTGTGTTCTTGCTTTATGATATCACAGCACATTGTGTTCTTGGTTTATGATATCACAGCACATTGTGTTCTTGCCTTATGATATCACAGCACATTGTGTTCATGCTTTATGATATCACAGAACATAGTGTTCATGCTTTATGATATCACAGCACATTGTGTTCATGCTTTATGATATCACAGCACATTCTATTCATGCTTTATGATATCACAGCACATGGTGTTCTTGCTTTATGATATCACTTTTCTGATCTTCTGAGGCCACACAGTTTGATACCAGAGCAAATTGTGTCCTTACTGTTTTACATCATACATTTTATCAATTCTATTTGAAATCACATAATATTGACACATTTCTTCTGATATCACAGCACATTGACACATTTCTTGTGAAATCACAGCACATTGACACATTTCTTCTGATATCACAGCACATTGACACATTTCTTGTTAAATCACAGCACATTGACACATTTCTTCTGATATCACAGCACATTGACACATTTCT